TGCAGATATTTGGGCAGATCTGAAAGCAGATGTATATTCCATCTGCCTGACTGCTTTGGCATCAGACAGAAATATTTTAAATTTATGAATAATAAAACACAGATATTGGACTTCCCTCATGTTCATTACAGCTTGCTTTTTCTTGCAGCCTCTCTTCTTTGATAGACTGAGGCCGTCAAAAGTAGAAGTTCATCCTTGGCAATGAAGGTATTTAGTATCGTTAGCCCCAGACCTCCCAAGGTCTAGAAGACTCCTCTCCAAAGGAATCAAAGGTAAGATTCACTGTGGAATGCGTATAGCAGTGTCTCACCTGCTGTCTAGTGAAAGCCACAGTCCTTGACATGAGGTCTGGACACTCAAAAAGTGTTTGGAGGTGGTACACCTATGCCTAAAGGCATTAGGCAAAAAGGTTAAGTGGATCAACAAGGCCTGGAACAACCTTTTTTTCTCCTGCTCATGGGATCTTACTTAAATGCAAAACTGCAAGTAAATGTAATTCGAAGTTCTAAGCAACTTCCTAGTGAGGAATGTCTAAACCAAAACAATACTCGCAAAAAACCAAACAACAAAAGGTCAGTCTTTTTTTTTATAGACTCTGACACTGTTCTTAGAATCCTTTTCTACCAGGAGCTCAAATGCTGGGTCATTCATTCATTCATTTGCTTTTTCCTGCCCGTAAGGTTTTTGACCTCCAACATCTGTCTACCTTTTAGGGCATATATTTTTGCACCCATGTGTACCTATCATGACCTATGCAAGTGAGTGGGAAGCACAAGTTTTATCCTACATCACATGAGTACCAAAACCACAAAAAACCCATGGTATTCCCATTTTGTTCTCAGTGAATGTGTTGTTTACTTAATAAGATACAGCTTGAACAGATGGGATTTCTCTACCCTAATTCTTGAAAATTCAGGACACTTTCCTAGGCACCAGTTAGAGCAGCACTGAATATCTTCAGGCAGCCCTGCAGTTTCCCACCAACTTGGCATTTCCCCAGAAAGCTTTTACACAAAAGGGGACGCATCCTTTTTTCTATCACCACAAGTTTTTGAAGAAATAAACACTCATGGCTGAACTTGACAAGTTTCAAGAGAGGTGGTAGTAGTGGATCTTGATAATATTGTATCTTTTAGTGAATGCTAAAGTTTAAAGCATATTCCTACTTCCTGCTTCCAAACCTACTGATACCAGCCTACTCTCTGCTGGTGGCTGTGAACCCAGGTAAAATTACCTACTTCTCCCTAGGCATTCTGCAGGAATCAGGCAGCAAAAAGGTGCTTGAAATATGTAAACAAAAAAAGTGAAGTATTTTTTAGATCTGATCCAAAGCTTTCTCAAAGGCTTTCCAAGTCTGCATAATAAAATTCTGCAGAGAATGACCTTTGCATGTGTCTCTCTCCACTGTACCTGCATGTGAGGTATTTTTTGTCTCATCTAAAATAAACTGTATGCAAGTACAGAAACCCATTCCCAACAGTTCCTGGAAAATGAACAAAAGAGATAATGAAGAACACATGACAAATAGTGATAAGCTTACTCCTTCAAAGAGCTCTAATGATAGTTTGATGACAGTGATATTTATATCTCTACTGAATAATTGTTTACCGGCAAGAAGGTTAACCCCATTTTCATTATGAGATCTAAAGATTTGCCAAAACATGTCAAGTTGTGCATCATATATTCACTCTCCTCTGTTTCAGAGCTAAAATACACTTTAAAATGTTACCATAACATACCCCAAGAATCTGACTGAATAACAAAGCATAGAGTGGATTGACTGCTCCATTCACAGCTGCTGCCAGAGATCCAAGCACCAGGTATGGCCATTCAGAGGCATTGTATTTCAAAATTCTGGTAAATGGTACAGGCTTGGCATCTTCCTCCACAACAGATTCCTAAAAAGAAAAAACAGGTTGCATTTCTGAAGTGAATGCATTCCATCAATGATGCTCTCCCTTTGACAGTGAGATAAAATAGTTAGCCAAGTTTGTTACACTAGTGACCCAAATAGCTGCTCTAGCTTTGGACAGGAGGGGCAAAGACAGCTGCTGTCTGGAGCTCTTTTGGAGCTCTAATAAGTCAAGTTTACTTAAAAAAAGTTTACTTAAAAAAAGTTACTGAAATAAACAATAAACTTTACCATCTCTGGGGAAAAAGAGAGATATTCATATCTTTTGCAGCTCTAATTGTTCCAGCTGCAGAGGTTATTTACAACCAGTTTGAGATTTTATGCCACTGAAACTCAGGCCATTCCCTTTCAGCTGTCTCCAGATAAGGTGTGATGAAATATTCAGTGCCAAAACGTAAATTCCCTCCTCACAAGCAGCTTTTTCTGTCACTCATTCAATCACTTAAATACTATTTTAAAGTGAGTGACCACACTGATCAGACTGCATCAAATTAACAGGTATGTGAGATCATTAAAACAGGAGAGATTTCAGAGTGACAGCTGGATTCAGGCTTTTTACATGGTAATTATGCCTGCCCTCTGTGAAACATCCTCAGACTATATGCTGAATTCCCATAATTATGCCCAGTAAGGGCAGAATATTCATCATCAAATTATAACTTATCCTTCAGTTTGATTTGTGCAGAATTTTTTTAACACCTTGTGTGCTCAGCCCTGCTCATCTCCCTCAATTTTGCTTTTTGTCATTTAATTCAGCTTTTAGGAATGTATGTTTTTCAATTAAATCTACAACATATATAAATTTACCAAAAGGTAGAGAGCAAATACCAAAATTTCTCTGCTAGAAATTTATATGGAGCAATAATCAAAACAGCCATCAAAATGCAGCCTAGAGTTTACAGAGAGATAAGAATTGAAGCTGTGGTTTTGTTTAAGGAGAGAAAAGGATCAAGCCAAGATGTACCTGCCAAGAACTCTTAAGCTACAAGCACATAGGTACAGGTGAGCATTAATGAGTAATATAACCTATTCAGTTGAAAATTTCATAACAAACTATTGGACCTGACCTTTTTTGCTTTTCCATCATCTTCTCCATAAGAAGGCGTAAGATAGGTAGACTCTGCAGAATCTCCTCCAATAGACAGTGGAGGGTCAGGGACCACGTTAGAGAGCTGGGATCTTGAGCGCTGCCGAAGTGAAGCTCTGCAGAGAGAACAGAAATGGCCTGCTATTTACAGCTTAGTAAAAACAATAACTGCTTGCAAGCAGGTACAGTTTTCATGTCAGTTAAATCCAAATGCACTGAAGCAATTCATAGGAAACCCACAGACATATTCTTTCTTGAATATGTTCTCTCAACTTCTTGGGAAGAAAGTATCTCACCAATGGGGACAAATACTTTTCAAAATCATATTCCACTCACACCACTCAGACATTGTCTTAGATGACAATGTACTGTGTATTTGTTAAGTAAAACTGTGGTGTGTTCTACTACACTCGCAAAAGTTATTAAGACACGAAGTCAAATCACTGTTACCACTGCCAGTAATTCAGCCTAGCAAAACAGGAAGCTGAAACAAAGCACCTCTCTCTCTGACAAAACATAACTGTGTAATGTAAGAGATGTATTCATTTGCACATGCCTGACATAGGCTTGGCCTGGAAGAAATAGTAAGTGTCTAGGTACAAGAAAGTCTGGCTGTAAAATACTTTAACTTTCATCAAGTAGAAGCCATAATAGAAATATGCTTGTGGATTGCATTGATTTCTCAAATAACTGCACAAGAAGTAATTTTTCAAACAACTGGACAGAAAGTGCATTAGATATTACAACTAAGGCTGTATGTTAGTAATATCAAAACCAGAACATTAACAGAGTAGATCAAAATTGGAGAGAATGTACTATGGATAGAAAGGACCAAAATAAACAGCCTTGCTGTTTATCCATGGATTTCAATCAGTAACATTATTACTCAAGCTATTTCTTTGCAAGAGAACTCTATCTCAGTAAACTGTTTGCAGCCCCTCAACCCTCTTTTACACAGCACACAGAATAGCTATTTATTAGGATTTTGGAATAGTGGGATGAAGTAGAAACATTGAGAGTAGTCTGGAAACATTGTGATTTACAACCATTTTTAAGACTCACCGCAAACTGGCCTGATAGCTTCCCCTGCTGAATGACTGGACATTCTCAAGATTTGGCTCAACCACATTATTCTCTGCTGCTGCAAAATACAGTATACAGAGCTCTGAAGTTAGTGCCAAAATTGAAGACAACCTAAATACACTGTGGTTGTGCAAAAAAGTGCATAGCCTCCAAGTTATAAATGGAATACTTTGTAGAAGGAAAGGGGTGTAATATAACCTTGCTACTCAACCTACATGTTTCACAAGTTTTATATTTGTATTTGACATAATGCAGTTAGCTGAATATTAGCCCAATGACCATCTCACTTTGAATGTGACTACTAAAGCATATTTACCTATTTTAACTCTGCAATCACTCTCTTATTTCAAGATAATAATATCCAATGCATGCTTCACAAAAATACAACAGATTATCTATTGAACCTTAATTTCCAGAAGCTTTGATTCAAATCTGCCTCTAGCAAAACAAATAGGATAACTTCAGCATAGTCTGTAATGTGCCTGAATTCCAAACACAGCAGAACTGGACTTTTGGCACTCAGTGGAGTTATAAAATGATGGATACTTCAGGTCAGAACTAATGGTTCAGAGCAGACTTATATAAGGAAGGTCTTTCAGTGCATATGCAGGAAAAACACTTTGGCCAGGGCTATCAGTGTATTACCTCTATGAATGATAAAATTCAGCCATAAAAGCAGAACAAAAAAAAAAGCAGCTACTAGCCCTTATAAAAAAGAGGAAAAAAAAAAAAAGAAAAAAGAAAAAGAAAATCTGCATTCTGTGGGATTTCACATTATTTTATAAAAGAAAACAAAATGCTTACTTTGTGTTTCTTCTCTGTTAGGTGCTTCTCCTTTGCTTTGTAAGGTCACCAACATGAAATAAACCCCTTTCCTCTGCAAGAGTTCCTCGTGAGTTCCTCTCTCTACAGCCCTGCCGTGCTCAAACCCGACGATGACGTCGGCGGCTTTGATGGCTGACAGGCGGTGAGCGATGGAGATCGCTGTGCGGCCGAGGCGAGCCTGAGGGAGACAACAACAGCCCCACTCCCAGCACAGCACACTGACATGCTGGCAATGAGCACTGCAACCTAAAGGCTCGTCAGATTAACTGGAGTCCTTCTAGTGGGTTCAGCCCACTTTGACTTTAGCTCAATCCACAGCCCACAGAGAAGCATCTGTTTCTGGGCAAAGGGAGCTATAGGTTTCTGTTGATGTCCCAAGGTAAGTAAAAATTATTCTCAGTCCATAATACTAAGGTTCTACTTGTACCTATAAAACAGTTATTAAGAAATGCGTCTGACTGATTTGTTGCAATTTAGGAGCACCCTCTGCAGAGTGCATTATAAATAACTTCTGCCCTTTCGAGTCTGATTTTTGCTATACTGTAGCAAACCTTATGAAGTGCTTCTTGGACAATTGCTTCACTTTCATTATCCAGTGCTGATGTAGCCATATCCAGGAGCAGGATTTTGGGGTTTCGCACCAAAGCTCGAGCAATAGCTATCCTCTGTTTTTGACCTCCACTCATCTGGCTTCCACCCTCTCCAACATGAGTGTCAAATTTCTGTGTGAAGGAAAAAAGATTAAAGAGGTAAGAAAAAAGCCTGTTAAGATCCTTGTGAAGGTATTGGTAAGATGTCTCAGATTTGTCCTTGGAGTAGACTTTAAACAAAAACATTGTTAATGCAGCAGTTTCAAAGAGCAACAGGTGAAATAACTTTCTCCATAATATACAAAATCATTTTGCATGAATCAGGTTTTCAACCCCATGCCAAAAGTATGCGCTGGTTAAAAAGGTGAGATGTTCTGGTTCAGCTTGAAACAGCTATATCAGCAGAAGCTGAAATGGAGAGGAATCACCCCACCCACTCTCCATCAGATGACTCATAAGCAAACTTTTCCTGGCCTTGTCTACTGATGACCTGTAACTCATGAACACTGTGTCTGTGCTTCATGGATACCATACTCTGGCAGCATTGGGTTCAGGTAGACAATTAACACACAAAGCCTGGCATATTGAGAGACAGGATCATTATATTCACTTAGAGCTTAATCTTTTTTATTCCTCCATTTCCATGAAATAAATAGGGGCCTTTGAACAGCCTTTCAGTGAATAGTTTCCTGGAAGCCTTGAAATGCAAAGATGGAGGATAAAGACAATGTACTAATATTAGTTAATGGTACTTGAATCATGTCAATAATCATGTCACTGTTGCAACATGTCATTTTCAGAAGCTACTTGGCAAAATAATATTCTAGAAAAGTAGAGAGCTTGATACTACCCAATTTGGGCTTTGTAAGGAGGAATTATTGAAGCCCTGTCATCATCAGGGAAGAAACTGGAGAAGGAACCTCCAGCTGGCTTACAGAGCCTGTACAAGGAGGTGAGGTTGTGAGCATCAGTACGGATGAGTGAAGTAACAAATGCTAGCTAGTGAGAGGCTGAGCTCTACATTGCTTTTGGCCTGAACAGAAACAGATCTCCAAAACATGAAAAATACAAATGTTAAACCATGCTATGATTATTACCATGATATTGAATGTTGTGTAAATGATTCCTGAAGAACTAATACTCAGGGTTGTATTTTGGGGTGGGGGTGGATGTTTGCTTTTATAACCTCATGGCATACATGTAGAAAGACCTAAATAACTATAGTCAAAGGAAAGGTTGTTGCCTCCTATCTGTATTAATCTTCTGTCCGTCCACTTGAGCATAAATTGCTGCAGGCTAGGAGGGACAAAAGGACAAAAATATTCTTTTTTGCTTATCAAATTCTGCCAAACATTTTCCAAGGCAGAGCATACCTGTGGTAAGTCCATGATGAAATTGTAAGCATTGGCCTGTTTGGCTGCTTTGATTATGTCTTCCATGGTAGCCTCGTCCCGCCCGTAGCGAATGTTCTCTGCAATCGTGGTGGCAAAGAGCACTGGCTCTTGTTCAACTATGCCAATCTGTGAGCGCAGCCACTGAATATTCAGGGAACGAATGTCATGGCCATCCAGGGTAATCTACAATTAGAACATGGACACAAGATCAGGAAAAAAATCAGGGACATTATGCCCTCCACTTCAGAGACAAAGAAAGACACAGTGGAAGTGAAGGGCCTGTGATGCTGTGTTTCCATAACCAGCATAAAAATCAGCTTTCAGATACAGAAGGTGGCAAAGCAGTGGCAGTAGTGTTAGCTCTTGGAGTTGTGCTCTTTGATTTCCTTTCCCATTTCTGCTTGGCATCAGAAATAAAACCAGGTGAAAAGTAATCATGAAAGTGATGATTATGTTATTTACAGTAATTTGTTTCTTTGTGTTTTATATATTCAAATACAGGTCAACATGTATGTGATTATGTGTTCCTATTTGATACAGGAACACATAAATGGAAGGAGATTTTCAACAGCTATAATTCGTATTCTTAGTCAAGCCATTACTAAGTGGTAATTGCATATACTGAAGTGATATTATGGGTTAATGTTTAAATGTTCACTACGGTGCTTTCCAGAAAACATTTGTCACTCCTGAATTATCATTTCTATAGGTATAGTTTTTACACAGATTTAGCACTGAATTTTTATTTTCTCCTAACAGTTTGCTCTTTCACATAATTGTTTTTATAAGACTATTAAGCACAGTTTTATAAAAGAAATGTGCAGGAAGATATTTCACTAATTTAAAAAATAATTAGGAAAAAAAAAAGAAGAAGAAAGAAATTAAAAGGAAGTTAGTAGTCTTCCTTCCCACCTTGGAGAAGAAACCATGCCATTCTTTCAGTTTCTGGAGCCAGAGAAACACATTCTAGGCTGGGACACTCACCATGCCGTCAGTGGGGTCATAGAAACGCTGGATGAGCTGTATTGTTGTACTTTTCCCAGCTCCACTAGGTCCAACAAAAGCTGTTGTCTCTCCTGCTTTAATCACCATATTAAGGTTATCCAAAATCTGGATAGGAAAAAAAAAAAAGAAACAGAATCTATCTATTTTAATTCTCCCACAGTCATACAACCAAGTGAGTACATTCTGTACCTTAAAGTAAAGATTCAAAGCAATTTTACAAAATTCAGAAAAGTATTATGAAGAAAGATGACAAAGCAAGCTACATATGTTTACACTGTTTGAAGACTTTGTAGATGCAGAGCACTCATTTCTGCATCAGGCAGGCAGATTTTGACCTTTAATTGTTCCTGTTGTTCATCATTAAGAACTAGTCAAGTTAATACACTAGAGGAGTTATTAAATTATATTTCCTTTAAAGAACACTCTGTGTGTATTGTGAATGTATGCTACAGCATAAATATTAAGAAAGTAACCATGAAGTTTTGTAGGAAAATCTGATACAACATGTGCTTCCATATTTAGAAGTAATAGCACTAATGTGCTTGTCCAATAACATGCTTTTCCAAGGAGAATTTGTCAATTCAAACACAGGAGTAGAGAAATAGAGGGATATACAGCCTACACTCCATCCCTTTCCTAGCCTTTTAATGGGTCACATGGTGCATCCCCAGGGTAATGGAAGAGTTTTATAAAATCTCCTTGCACCATTCAGTTTATTACTTTGTGTTCTATCTCAAACACATTGATACAAGGGCATCACTGATTGCAAGAGAAGCTGTACACAGGTGAATTTGCCCAGAATTACTGGGAGTTTATGTTCAGCAGCAAGGAATATGCAGATGTGGCAGTGGATATGTCAGAATGGTAAAATAAGCCAAACAGTAAGCAGAAGAACACTTTAATGGAAGAATTATTCAGTCTACTTGAGTCTGGGCTTCTGGAAGATAATCTCTATGGAAAGTCTAGAAATTGATGGCAGAACCAGGATATTTTTCTTGTTTACAATAATTGTGTTCACAGGATGGGTGATGAATAATTACCTTTATGTCTGGTCTGGATGGATAATTGAATGTTACGTTATGAAATTCAATTTCCCCTCGTACTTTATCCAGCTTGTAGCCATCTTCTGACATGCAGTCAATGGTGGGTTTCTAGGATGAAAATTATTGGGTTATTTATTTGCTGTTAAACAGTCACCAGTGATGCAGTAGATAAATACAATACCATACAAAGCCACGGCACTTCTGTTTGAACAGCACTTGGCTGCATGGAGCCAGCTGCAGGCTCTGCCCCAGGGATAGCAGGCAAGGGACATGGAATTGAGGGCCAGAGTGATAGGGGAGTTGTCACTGGTGCGTAGCACAGACAAGGATGCACCCTCTTCTCATTGTAGGCTTACTGCAAATACCACAGCCAACCACTCAGGCAGTTTTAACTGGAACTGAGTAGCTGACTGACAGAGGCATTTTGGCTAAGCTAATTTAGCCAGCTCCTCAGGGATAATATGGCACTACCTCACTCAAAAACATCCTCTCACAGCACCGAACAACCAATTCATTGCTGAAAATTTTCAGGTCTTGCCACTTGGCAATTAAAACATCCATCCTTGTGCACCCAGTGCTAATAGCTGAAATACTGAAGTTTTCCTGGGAAGTGCTTTGGGTCTCCCATACTTTTGGCCAGGTCTTGGGTATTGTGGACTGCTAGACATGATAAAAGAACTAAAAGAAATTTGAAGATAAATAAAATTTTCTAAGGATAGATTTCTGAAGCATGGAATACAAACAGTAAATTAAAACTATAGCAATGAATATTTGATAACTGAAATGTGCATGCTTTTTTAATATAGACTAACAGATTGAAAGGAAAGTTAAAATGAGAAATGTGTATGTTCTAAGATATTAAAAACAGCTACAAGACTGGTTCCACTTCAGGAATATAACTTACTTAAATTCTGATACTAATCTATGAAGAAGTTTCACTGATCCTGCAAATGAGAATCTCAACAGGACTAGCTTTAGTGTCAGGGCAGAGCTGTGCTTGTACTGTCTAATCACAAATCTACAAATGTGGCAAGCAGATGGATCTAATTTTGTCACCCTTTCTCTAGATAGATGAAATGTGACGTTGGTTTGCTTTTTTCCTCTCAGGTTATTTGACTCAGTCTTATCCTGAATATTGTGATTAATCGTTACTGTTGAAACTCTTTATCATTTTACATTTTTTCTCAGAAAACCACATCCCTAATTCATCTCTATTTTCAGTTCATTTTAGAGCTTTAGCTTATGAAGTGTACATGTTTTATCGTTATTGCAGAAATTTGAAAGGTTACTGAAAACTGTTAGCATTACCATAGCTTTATGTGCTCTGTAGAAGACAAGCAGCATTTTAATGTGTTTGCACAGCTTTCAGCACAATAAAGCTTGTCAGTGAACAGAGATAATACATACTTTAAGAAATCAACAGTACATTTCCAACCATTATATTTATAAAGCTATACAAAGGTATCAAGAAAGGAATCAATAAATTTCAGTGGCATCTCAGGGTCTCTCATACAATTATTTCAAGTGTCTGTTTAGATAATATTGTGATTAACATTTGTAACAGCTGCATGACCAGTGCCTGTCCCATTTTTGCTCAGGGTAGCTCTGGGACAGGTGACAGAGGCCACCTTCACCGCTAATGCCAACAGAGCCACAGCTTTTGATGCCATCTGGAGGCTGGGAGCTATGGGATGGTTGCTGCAAGTTTCATTGCAGAGTGGCTATTACTGCCTGCCAGTACACCTTCCACAGGCCAGCACTGATAAGTAATTGCCTGTAAGGAGAAATGGGAACAAGGAACAGCAGCAGCTGAGGTGAAGCTTCAGAACTCAGAACCAGGCCACTTAAGAAATCTGTTCAATGTGGTTTTTGAGCCCATGTGCACCCCACTGGACTTTTCTATTGCACAGTCACTTTTTCTTTAATCAGATTCCTTTTTCCTCATTTACACTGCAGATAAAACTAATACCACTTCAGGCTTATTTAATTTTTTTATTTTTTTTTTTGCACTAGAAAGTAACACAGCTTAGAAATGCATTACTTACTTTATCTATTGTCTCAAAAATGTTTGTTGCAGCCCCACGACCAGTGGCAAAGGCTTCCAGACAGGGAGATGCCTGGCCAAGATTTAATGCTCCTATTAAAACGCCAAAGAAAACCTGAAGAAGTGGAAAAAGAAGTTAACAAAATATGACATCACATTTTTATTATAGCTTACAGCTTAGACAAGCAAACCCAACTACAATAGCTTTATGACTTCTCATGCATCTGCTGAACTGAAGTGATTCACTACATGAGCATTATTAGCCAACAAGAAAGCAAATAAATGCATTTCAGAAGGTATTTTTGCTGTCTTTCACAGCTCTGCTTGAGGCTGAAGTAAAACAACTCGTATTTGTCTTTGCCTAAAAAAGTATGCATCTAGGTATTTACTGAGATGGCAGTGATGTATTTTTAAGCCATCTCAGTTTGACTGCGTGCCTTTTCCTTGTAACAAGGTCTGGAATAGGACATTGGTGGGACATAGATTATTTCAGGGATGCCTTTTACCAGTAAGGAAAAATAGAAAGAAGCTTAAAACACTGTAGTACAATCTTTGTATATTGCAGTTCGTGTCTCATCCAATACTCACAAAGCTTACTTTTGAAGGAAGTACCAGCTATAGAGAATATTTTTTCTGTCTTACAAAGAAATGAACCGTAAGAGTTGCTACCAACACTGGATAAGCCACTTTTTGAGGTGAAATTATTCTATCAGTGTGGGTGGACAGTTTCTACAGGTAGCACATACCCAATGGGCTCATGGTTTTAAGTCCTTTTCTAAGAACCAAAATGAAGAGTTACTCACTAATGACTCTATTCTGAAAGCCCAAGGACCCCCTTTTTGCCTAAGCCTAGGACAACATGAGAGAAAATGAGCAACAGCATCTGCTCTTCCTGGGAAGACTGACGGACAATAAAGGCAGCTGGATACAGTATTCAATATCAGAGGACCCCTGAGTCCAAGAATTCAGCCTTGGTGTGTGACCTTGCGATCAGAAGCAAGTGAAGGTGTAGCACATCAACTAAAATACACAAGTGTTAGAAATTTCCTAAGAGCTGCCAATACTTCATTTCTATGAAAGGTTTTTATTAAGGTTCTTAAATATAGTCAGGAACTAAGACTGCAAATGCTGGCAGGGGCTTCAAAGAACAGAACACTGGAAGGTGATGAACTTAAAGAAGGCAAAGGCTTATTTAGCACTTGTATACCACATAGATGCAAATTATTTCATCGTCTGTTTCTGCATTGTATTGTCAGTACACTTATTCTTCTCAGTGCTACCATATGGGGTGTGCTTTTGAACACTTTTTGACAGGTTTTTTCCTAGAATTTACTCTGCTTTACTTCTCCTTAGTTTTTCAATTACAGTGTTTTGGCAGAACAGGTTATAAGAGTTGGACAATGTCTTTGGTGGAGGCTTTTTGGTCCATTTTGTTGCTTTATTGAACATTCACCCTGCACATAAGGAGACATGGAATGTTATGTCAGGTATGTAACCCTTTGCTCTAGTTTGGCCTGCAAATTCTGCTAAGAAGCAATCAAGCTAAGCTTTTGGATACAACACAAACAGGACTCAGGGTAAATGGGGCAAAGTGTATAAGGAAGCACTACTGTTGAGAAAAAAATAACAGCACATGGGACTCACTTCTCCTTTGCAGTATAATGATGTTTACTGGGAATATCCCTATAGCTAAAGTGGAGGAATCTACTGAATGCATACTGTGCACTGCAAATGTCTACACTGAGATGTAGAGATTGTGCCATACATTTGCACTCAGCTTTACTATGAACTAATTTTATTGTGGGAATGACTCCTAAAGCAGGGGGGTTCTGTGCCTGTCAGTGTCCATCATGAACATGAAGGAGCATGTTCTGTACACCTGGCAGAAGAAGAAGGGAAGGCAATACTTAGTATATCTCAATGCAGTATGGGAAGTGTATGACTTTTTGAGAGAGCAGGAAAAGCATATTTCAATGTTTTGTATCTAAAAATTCCCCCTCCTCCCCCCTGCCAAACTAGGAGTGTATGGTAGAAAAGATGAAGTAGAAGAAAATGACTGGAAGCTGTGAGGAAGGACATAAAGGAGACTCTCTCCATTGACAGCTACAGTTTTTCAGCTCAGGGTAGCCCCCCACTGTTTGCCATTTGTCATTTGGAAGTACTGGACTATAGTTACTGTGAGCAAGGCAAAGAAATTGCTCACTTTGTTTTTCACAGCACTACCTCATATCAACTATGGGTATTGAGAACAGGTGCAAATGTTTTCCTCCTTGAACAGAATGACTCAGGTTTACAATGTTCTCAAGAGTAATTTGCGAAGTTCCATTTAGCAGGAAGCTTTGCACTGTGTGCAGCAGGTGGCTGGGAACTCTCATGGTGTGCAACAGGCAGAGAAGGTGCAAAAGTAAATGTCTCATCAGAATACCCAGAACTTACTAAGGTTCAGGAAAAGTTGTTCTGAGTTTGGACTGGAGTCTGCCATTTGGGCAGTCCTGGCTTAAGCAACTAGCCAAAACACCTGTAGATGTTGGCTTTGTTGCATTGAGGCCAAAAGTGTCTAAAGCACCTACTATGCAGAAGTGAATGCACGAGTGCCACACAGATTAATGTAGTTTTTGTACACACCGCAGCAGCCACAGCCAGGTGTGTTTTGATCTGCATACATGTTTACACAGCCTTTGTAAAAACAAAACAACAAGAAATGGTTTCTCGAACACAAAAGTGTTCATGAGAAATTAGATGTGACAAGACTTTCTTTAGTTAGGTGTCTCTTTACCACAACATTTTTCATCATAAAATTCTTCAGAAAAGCCAAGATCCCAGAAGCCCCATGCTGACCCACAAAATGGAAAAGCTAGTTTCAGGCTTCTGACAATTGTGTGGGCTGTCAAATGAAGGCATTATTCTGATGACCACAGGTAATATTCAAAATACTTAAAATAAACACAGAGGGTTTTTTTGTCTTATCCAGTTGTGTAATACATATAGTGAGTAATGGTCTTCAAAAGACATAAATAATTTTTGTTACCATGGAGCCACCAGATACCAGAACAGATATGTGTTCCAGAATTATTATTTTAAAGAACAGTGCAGAAAAGTTGCATCAAGCTAAAATGAGTACCTGCAGAAGAGTGCCAGGTGAATATTCTTCTTCCTCAAGGACAAGTTTAGAACCATACCAAAAGGCTAATGCATAACTTAGAAAAATTATAAACCACATGTAACCACTAAATAATCCCATTATCATTCCTTTTCGAATTCCCCAGTGCTGAGCAAATACCAAGTTTTTATCGTATCTGTAGAAAGAGAGGAAAATAAGAGGGAATTAAATAAATTTGACAGAAATTTCAAAATGAGCAAAGATCATATGAGGCACCTTTGATGACTCAGCAGAATGTCCACATATAGGGTCGATACAGAATCACTCTGAAGTGAGAGAGCACTGCTGAAACCAGAAATGCTCCCAGATCGTTAAATCCTTTTATGTTCTCGTGTAATAAGCACAAGAAAAGCCACACTCATTGCCGATACCTCATCATGGGGTTTGGAGTTTTAGCAGATTAACACAGGATTTGAGAATCTGGCCAACACTCCAGAGCACATCCTACAGCCATATTATGTTTTCATAGAATTTAAGAGAAATTTGCAGAAGAAAAACCTGATGTTTTTCTAATGAAAAATGATGTCATGATTGAATGTCATCATGAGGATGTCCTGATGAAACTAATTCTCCTACTTAGCTTGAAATACTCAAAGTTTTCAGAAATGCTGCAAAAGTGATACATCAGACAGCATTTAAAGAAAAATTTGACAGAATGTTCCTACAAGTAAGCATGAAATGAAGATAGTATTGCTGATGCTTTATTTCACTGATAGACCGAATTATCAAACTAATTCTGCATACATTTCTTGAAACCTAAATTTCTGAAACATACATGCATGTAAGTTTCAAAGCTACCAGATAGTCATAGTTGTAGAATATAGAGATTAATTGTTATGAATCTGATCTGCATTACAGCATTACATCACTTCAGGAAATAGAAATCAGAGACCTTAGAGTTTGCTCAAACAAACCTTTCAACTTCTTTCTTCTCCCCACCAAAAGCAGCCACTGTTCTGATGGATGAGAGTACTTCATCTGCCACAGCTCCAGCTTTTGCATAAGCCTTTAATTCTCGGCCTGTTAGTTTTGCCACAGCCTACAAAAGCATAAGCAGTGCTGGTTACACCTGAATTTCAGGTACAGAAAAGTACAGAGATGAGCAATGCTGGCTGCTCTGTGCTGGCTGCTCTGCACTGGGTCACCTCCTGCACTCCAAGCAGGCTTTTATTAGGCATGCTGCACACTTGAAGACTTAGGCCTTCTAGTGCCAGGGCACACACCTTTGTAGCATATTTTAGCAACGGCTCTTCTCCAAGTAGCTGGAAAGAGCGGCTGACAACTCCTGCTTTCCCTGCCTCCCTCCCTCCCTCTCTCTGCTCTAACTAGGCTGAAGCAGATTGCACACTGAGGGTTTGTGCACTGTGGGAGGAAGGGGGAGCTTAAGCACCAGGAGCAGTCCTTTAACCACTGTGGCAGATCCCAGCTTCAGGAAGAAGAGGTAACTGTAGTGGTGGGGGAGGATAAAAACAGATGTTGGCACCACTGTGCTTTGTGGGCTGATAGCAAACAGGTCCCTACACAGCAACCAAGAGCTCATTGGATACCAAAAGCTTACTTAGACTCAAAAAATGCTCAAATTAATGGAAGAAAATGTAGTAATTTACAATTCTACACAGAGATACCACATTGACTTGGGAATGAGATATCATTAGAAAGTGTAATGTGTCAGTCTTTCCTTTCTCTTTCCAAATACCCTACCCCTTGCATCTATTAGTCCTTTTTGAAGACAGGAAAGCAGGCCAGATTGACTTTGGATCTATTTTCTTCATGGTGTAAAACAAAGACTTGGGCTGGAAAGGCTCATAATGAGGAAAAACTTAAAAGTAGGTGTGTGACTGGAAAGAGATGATAAAGTAAGAATGTAAAGGGAGAAAAATACAAACATAATGGGGTATAACGTGGAAGAAAAGAAGGAAAAACATTTTGGGTTTTATTTCATTCCCTGCCAAGCTTCTGCTCTCCCACTTCGCATGAGTCATTATTCATATCAGCTACTTGCAGTCATCACAAGGTGCTAAAGGAGAGCTGGAGGACAAGAAATTAGTCACAGTTACATTAGATATTTGATAGCAAAATGATAGCAAGCTGTTCCTGA